CCCAGTCTTTGAGGGAGGGGTGATTCGGAAGAGACGCCTTTGGACGATATGTCGGCTTGCAAAATGCGACGGATGTGTGTATTTTTTGACCTGGATGAATAATACGGCCTTCCCCGAAATGCAATCTATACTGGGTGTTAGAATCGCGGTGGTTACAAGACGGATACTCACTGATAGGTAGTCGAACTGCTGTCTTGGTATGACAGTCTTTTGAACGGTATCCACTCGAAGAGACTCCATATCCCTGTCAGTGACTCTTGGACGACATCCAAGTTTTGCCAATCCCACTCGACTTTTTTCGGCTTGAGCAGGGCCCCACTTCCGATCGCCTCGGACATCATCCAAATGCCAGGCGTCCGTCCGAGGTCGAGGTTGAGATTGAGTTGATTTCCCCCGCCGCTGAGAAAGGCATGAGTACCATTTCGTTCAAAGAGAATGTACATACATGTCCGAATGAGTCCCTGGGAACCAGACCTCTTTGATATGAGGCGGTGGAGGAGGAGTTGAAGGGTCCTGGTTCACCCCTTTGGAAATGGCCGGACGGCGGTCCTTTTCGTAAATGGCATACTCTGGGAGGAATTTAACGCGGCGTTCATCGAGAGCCAGGGCGTGGCGAAAGAAGCAGACATTATCCACAGTATCCGTCAAAGGGAGATTTTTTCCTCGGACGATTCCGACAGAAGATACGGTGTCCCTGGGCGCCGTCATTTGGGATTTGATGCATAGTGAATCCAAATCACGTACCATACGCCGACGAAGTGAACGGATACATTTTCCCGCGAGAACGTCGCTTTGAACCGCTGAGCCAGATTGATAGGCTCGGGTTGATCAGGCTGCGGAGCGAGGTGAAAGTATTGTGACCAAGATTTCGGTTGCAGAGGAACGAATTTGTCGCTATTCTGATCTATGTAGAGCTCGTATGCACTGAGGAACGCGTTGAGAAGTCTGCGAAACGTTTCTTGAGACACTCACAAGGGTATTTGCTCTTCGTTTCCCTTGTGAATAAGGCCGACCTAGGTTTAAATTGATCAACGGGCCGGTCGTTTTGGACACGTGAACGCAGAAGATGGGACTACAGCAACGAGAATATGGAGCGAGCTAGCAGATGACACAATCCTCCTTGAAACTCAGGTTGTACATGGTACGGTCGACGTCTCTCTCAATCTTCTTCCAGTCACTCCGCCGCTGTACAAACTCGTACACGTCCTATATACCATGTAAGGAAGGGTAAGAAAAAAAAAGTCAAAAGGCTTACTTCTGGCCTGAATGTCCCCCCGTATCTCGTCGCATCCCGTACAATGGCTGCCAGATCTGTTGCTTCCGCGACCACGAAGACGTGTCCCAGTTTTTTTAGGTTGGCAAATTCTTGGACGAGATGAGGGACCTTGAGTGTCGCTACAAAGTCATAGTATGCGTTCAGGTCTACAATGACCTGGATGCCGCCTTCGAGGGAAATTATTTGACGTTTGATATGTTTTTGTACAAGGCTATATAAAGTCAATACACTTATTCAAGAGAAGAACGCGACTCACCTGTGAGAGTAGCTTGTTCTCTGCTGTGTCATGTAGTCTATACTATATATTTCTAGATTATCGATCAAGAGAGAGGATTTAAGAGTCTGAGTCTAGCGAGCTGCTAAAATATATCCCGACTTGTGACTGACACGTCTATATTTGGGTCTGGGATGCTTTTCTGATGTGGCGCTTAGCCCCGGCTTTGTGGATGGCTCGCCGACTAGCCGGCTCCGGTCTCCATGGTCCTTTGTCTACAAGCTCACACTCGAACCTCTTTCATGTCTCTCCGCCAACTACCCTCAAAGCACTGCGAATGCTCACCAAACGGAAGGAATCTAGTCGTCTGTATCGACGGAACATCCAATCAGTTTGGTGCCAAGGCCAGTTCGTTCACTATACGACCAAGCTCTGCTCTGATGAAATGCTATCCAGAACACGAACGTTATCGAGATTTACAGCCAACTCATTAAATCTGGGGAACAACTTACGTACTACAACAGCGGTATCGGCACCTATGCAAAGCCGTCTTGGTCGTGGAACTATGTCAAACAGGCCGTGGACAATGCCATCGACCTGGCAATAGCATGGTAGGAGAATCTACTGCCATTGATCCTGTCTTACGGGTCGCCCTAGGAATTTTGAAAGAACGGTCATGGCAGCGTATCGATGGCTATCAGACAATTACAAGGAAGGAGATCGTATATACCTCTTTGGTGAGCATCTTATAGTCTCCAAAGGTGGATCGTCACTCATTCTCCTGCAGGTTTCTCTCGAGGCGCATACCAGGTTCGTGCCCTCGCTGGAATGATTCACA